CTACATGATTTTTATGTCCTTTCAGTAATTATATAGGATAAGTTAGCAAGTTGCTTGTTGAGTATCTCTCAACTAACAGCTTTGTTGAATTGTGTTAAATTTGTAACTAAAAACCTTTCTTAAAATATTAAAAAATTAAGAAATAAATATTTTTCTTTGACATAATTGGTGTTTCTAACAATGACTTCTAACCAAAGTTAACCTACTGAGTAATTTTAATTGTTAACTCATAATCCAATTATAGCATTAGATTTCAAATTATATTAGACTTTATATCTAACCTATGCCAAAATAAAAATATTATTATAATTGGGACCCATTTAGTACCAGCTTTATTTTCTGAAAGTATGGCTTGAAATTTTGTCATGAATTTTGATAGTTGAGTCAGAATTTGAAAAATGGACGAATGAGAGTGCTAGATTTACAAATAGCAATGTTTAGGCTGCTATACATGTAATTGCCTTAAAAAATCACCGAATCAAATATTTCTAGTAAGCCTCTCACCACAAATTAGGTTGTCAAAATCTTTTCACATGGAAAATGGTTAGTGTCACATTAGATTTCATTAGGGTTTATTGGCCATCCCATCAGATTTGAATTAAATATTTTTTTCACACACACACACACACACACAATCATTATGATTCATATGCTCCCATCTCTTAATAAACATAAACATAATTCTATTCAACCAACCAAGCAAAGAATTCACAGAATTTCCTCCTACGAGACCATTGAGAATCAAATTCAATTCAATTCCCCTTTAACATTTTAATTTCCTCGCTACCAATTCCTTCAAACAAAACAAAACCAAATAATCAGATAACTATCCATATAAAACAAAACGTAAACCCCTTTGAATTTCTAGACATTTTCACGTATATCGATACAGTAGCTGCAACATTGTTGCCACCCACCAATACCCACACAAAGTAAATGTCGCTCATCAGTATATGACCAAATAGATATATCCAATATAGAATTTTCCGCCAATCCTTTGGTTGAAGAAGTATTGATAAATTTTTTTCCAAGCTATCGCCTTCTCAGCATTAACTAACACACCTCTAAAAGGATTTTTAACTACAGATCACAGCTACTGAAATCAACAACCATGGTATTGTGCTCAGTTCTGTTGCATTTCATCCTATCAAATGATGAACCAAATCGTGAAAATTTATATAACAATCAGATGTTTAAGAGCTTCAGGATGCAAGGCAGATTCAGGTTCTCTTACTTACCTCGGCTGATTTCTTGTATTCCGGCTTGAGCTCATGGGTTCCTTGGTTCGGTCCACGTTTGTTGTATACGCAGAGATCATTTAGTATTTCTTTGAGGAATTGCTGCAATAAAAAAAGCTCCATTACAGCGGATCGCATATTTAAAGCACATTCAAGAAGGTCGAGCATTCAATTTAAAATAATCATGATGTAGGAAACAGGAAGCCGATCAAACATCATTTTATCGGTGATTACGTGATGAATAATAACCGAAGAAAAGTGTCAAAATGATCCTCTGATTCTTTATAGGGAATTATTTTAGTCCTGGAATCTATAAAATGCCAGTTGAGTGCTTGAACTCTTTTAATTTAGCCTAGAACAGTCATTGCTAGAGACTATTTCAGCTATATTAAAAGAGTCATCAGTAATGGGACTAATTTAGCAATTTTATAGAGTATAGACCTAAAATGGCCCAATGTAAATAGTTAGGGAACTATTTTGGCATTTTACATACATAAAAAATCAGTCGTGAGTAACAATATGAAAAGTTCTGTTTTTTAAAATAAGCCACCGATTCAGATACAAAATTAAGTGTAGCTAGTCAACCATTTTGTGGCTTAGTCTACCTTTAAAAAAAGATCTAGGTTCAGCACACAACGGATTCAAAAATCATAGAGCAATTGCACCATAACTCATACAGTTCCAGCATTTCAAACGATTGCATACTCACCAAGCTCGAAAACTTGCAAAACGTAAAATTTGTAATTCATATGACGAACAATACCTCGGGTTGGTCTGTTTCCAGAACCAGTTGCTTCAACGCCCAGTTTGGCTGCCTTTCAAAAAGCTTAAAGATGATATTTTCAAGTTCTCTACGGTCCCTTCTCGTTCGTTTAACATCAGATCCCTTCACTGGTGCAACCTTCTTCTTATCCTGGTACAGCGCAAAGGAGCATTTAGGTTTTGACAAAGGGCAGAAATATATAATGTTCACCAAATAAATAACGCTAAACCAAGATATGCGGTTATATTTCATTTATAATACCAAAAAATAATCAATAGATCATCTAAAAACTAATAATCAAAGGCTACACTTAATCCGGTAGCACATATCTTGAATACATTCAAAATCTCAGACGGAATAAAAGTAAACACACCAGAGAGACAACAAATACATAAGCACGGATCAAACTGACAAATTTGAGTCAACACAATGGACATACTATCCATAAAGCCCAATAGCTGGTCTACAACCAACCAATTTAGATCCATCGAATTAAGCATGCAAATGGATTAATTTTCATCTAACTCAACCTAGTTTAGTTTTGCAATATTGAAACCAAGGGAGGGTCAACCCAATCCATGGGCAAATGAACCCAATTAATACCATATTTTGAGTTCAATCGTATTCAGATATTTTTGCCTAATAGGCAAATGAACCCGATTAATACATATTTTGAGTTCACTTGAATTCAGATATTTTTGCCTAAAGGCCTGATAGGGAAGAACCAACCCAAGCCCTCTAAGTGCCAGTTTCGGGCAGTTTTCTCACTACATTGTTTTTCAGAATGATGTCAGAAACTTGTTTGGCTACTACTTTTTTGCTGCTTCCCAAAAAAAAATTATAGAAAACTGCTTTTTAAAACCAAATCTGCTAAATTGTGGTAATTTTAAAAAACCTGCTGACCGACCTTTCCAAAAAAATAGAATATGTATAATGCCCATAAAAGCTTTCAAAAAATTTGGATTTTCAACGGCATCCTTAAAAGCACATTTACAAAATGCTGCAGCCACCCAAACAAAAGAACCCCGAAGTCACAATTCTCCGTCTTTCTCTGATAGTATTACACCTGGTAGTTAACAATTAAAACTTCCCCTCCTCACATTTGGCTTGCCACTAACTCAACATCATTGTCTCTTTCTTCTCTCACCAGTAGTCGCCTGCTACAGCTGTGATCCTCTGCTATCATAACATTTTGTCATTTGGCCCAGGCTGCTACTCTTGCTAAACTAATTGCTCAACCGCACGCATCATAACCAACATTGTTCGCTTCCCTCAAAAATTTCATCACGATCATCATCATGAATACGCTTACCAACATCAAAGCAATAGTTATCTATATCCCACAAGGATTTTTT